GAGGATACATATACATAACTGGGGAGATATATACAGGTAACTAGGGAGAGGATACATATATAAAGGTAACTAGGGAGAGGATACATATATAAAGGTAACTAGGGAGAGGATATATATATATAGGTAACTAGGGAGAGGATATATATATACCCAGGTAACTAGGGAGAGGATACATATATAAAGGTCACCATTGAGAGGATGCATCTATAGGTAACTAGGGAGAGGATACATATATAAAGGTAACTAGGGAGAGGATACATATACAGGTAACTAGGGAGAGGATACATATACAGGTAACTAGGGAGAGGATATATATATATAGGTAACTAGGGAGAGGATACATATATAAAGGTAACTAGGGAGAGGATACATATATAAAGGTAACTAGGGAGAGGATACATATATAAAGGTAACTAGGGAGAGGATACATATATATAGGTAACTAGGGAGAGGATACATATACAGGTAACTAGAGACAGGATACATATACAGGTAACTAGGGAGAGGATACATATACAGGTAACTAGGGAGAGGATACATATATACAGGTAACTAGAGACAGGATACATATACAGGTAACTAGGGAGAGGATATATATATATAGGTAACTAGGGAGAGGATATATATATAAAGGTAACTAGGGAGAGGATGCATATATACAGGTAACTAGGGAGAGGATACATATATACAGGTAACTAGAGACAGGATACATATACAGGTAACTAGGGAGAGGATATATATATACAGGTAACTAGAGACAGGATACATATACAGGTAACTAGGGAGAGGATACATATACAGGTAACTAGGGAGAGGATACATATACAGGTAACTAGGGAGAGGATATATGTATATATACAGGTAACTAGGGAGAGGATACATATACAGGTAACTAGGGAGAGGATACATATACAGGTAACTAGGGAGAGGATACATATACAGGTAACTAGGGAGAGGATACATATACAGGTAACTAGGGAGAGGATACATATACAGGTAACTAGGGAGAGGATACATATACAGGTAACTAGGGAGAGGATACATATATAAAGGTAACTAGGGAGAGGATACATATACAGGTAACTAGGGAGAGGATACATATACAGGTAACTAGGGAGAGGATATATGTATATATACAGGTAACTAGGGAGAGGATACATATATAAAGGTAACTAGGGAGAGGATACATATACAGGTAACTAGGGAGAGGATACATATACAGGTAACTAGGGAGAGGATATATGTATATATACAGGTAACTAGGGAGAGGATACATATACAGGTAACTAGGGAGAGGATACATATATACAGGTAACTAGGGAGAGGATACATATACAGGTAACTAGGGAGAGGATATATGTATATATACAGGTAACTATGGAGAGGATACATATACAGGTAACTAGGGAGAGGATATATATATATATATATATAGGGAGAGGATATATATATATATAGGTAACTAGGGAGAGGATACATATACAGGTAACTAGGGAGAGGATATATATATACAGGTAACTAGGGAGAGTATACATATATAAAGGTAACTAGGGAGTGGATACATATACAGGTAACTAGGTAGAGGATATATGTATATATACAGGTAACTAGGGAGAGGATACGTATATAAAGGTAACTAGGGAGAGGATGCATATACAGGTAACTAGGGAGAAGATGCATATACAGATAACTAGGGAAAGGATACATATATACAGGTAACTAGGGAGAGGATATATATATATAGGTAACTAGGGAGAGGATATATATATATAGGTAACTAGGGAGAGGATACATATATAAAGGTAACTAGGGAGAGGATATATATATAGGTAACAAGGGAGAGTATTCATATACAGGTAACTAGGGAGAGGATATATACATATAATTAGGGAGAGGTTACATATATTGGTAACTAGGGAGAGGATGCATATATATAGATAACTAGGGAGAGGATGCATATTTATGGGGAACTAGGGAAAGGATACATATATATATAGGTAACTAGAGAGAGGATATATAGGTAACTAGGGAGAAGATATATATATATATAAAGGTAACCATGGAGAGGATGCATATATAGGTAACTAGGGAGAGGATACATTTATATATGTAACTATGGAGGGGATATATAAATACAATTAACTAGGGTGAGGATACAAATATACAGGTAACTAGGGCGAGGATACATATATACAGGTAACTAGGATGAGGATATATATATATACAGGTAACTAGGGAGGGTATACATATATATATAGGTAACTAGAGAGAGGATACATATACAAGTAACTAGGGAGGGTATACATGTATATAGGTAACTAGGGAGAGGATATATATATACAGGTAACTAGAGACAGGATACATATACAGGTAACTAGGGAGAGGATATATGTATATATACAGGTAACTATGGAGAGGATACATATACAGGTAACTAGGGAGAGGATATATGTATATATATACCGGTAACTATGGAGAGGATACATGTACAGGTAACTAGTGAGAGGATATATGTATATATACAGGTAACTAGAGACAGGATACATATACAGGTAACTATGGAGAGGATACATGTACAGGTAACTAGTGAGAGGATATATGAATATATACAGGTAACTAGAGACAGGATACATATACAGGTAACTAGGGAGAGGATATATATATAGGTAACTAGGGAGAGTAAACTTATACAGGTAACTAGGGAAGGGATATATATATATAAATGAGGCAGGTAACTCTGAAGACAGGGACTAGGACTAGGGGTATAGATATATAGAGATAGATATATATATAGGTTACCAGTATTTCCAATTCCTTCGTTTGTAAACATTTACTGTACCCTGGTACATACACATATATCCCTTCACCTTGTACTTATAGTAATACCTATTAACATTGATCAGGTGATATGTCAAAACACAAATATCGTAATTTGATATGAAAAGAAGATATCATACTTTAGTTTACAGTAAAACTATGCAAAAGATTCAATGTGACAAACCGATAATAACCTACTAACATTAAGGATTTGTAACATGATGTGTATTTGAACTGCAATAATATTGTCATTGATTGCCTAATTGATAACAAACACCATTACAAAGATAAAACTAATCCTCTTGTTACCTTCCAAATGCTTCTTTAATTATCTGTAGATCATTAGTAATCAATTATAATCAATTAGTCCGATCGGCTAAGTGTTTAGTCAAGGCATGCTGACCTCATTTAACCTTGTTGTGAAATCTTTGTTAAATGGCACAAGACCATTGTTAAAGTGCATGTTTAAATCCCAGTGGTAAAGTGCTAGTCTGTCAATCAAGGTGTGAATCAGTCACAGAACATTCTTCAGCTTAGTCAGCACAGAGTTGTCTCCCTTCAGTTGTAAGCTTACTAGTTTGTAGTGTAAAAAATGAAACAAACCATAACCAGGTTTGTAGATGTTGGGACTGTTAGGATCATGAAATTTGAATGTATAAGAAAATAGACAAATTAACACAGAAACAGAGTTGTAAAGTTCTAAAGTTAATTTACAAGAGCTAGTATACACATATAAAGTGTATTTTATTCGGGAACATGGTTAATGAAATAGTCTCAATTACTCGTGCACACATGCTACATAACAGAAACATATTTATATCCCTACCCTTAGGGAGAGGGACAATATAGTAATCACTTTGTCAGTGTGTCATGTGCATGTATGAATGTTTGTGTCTGTCTAAGCAATTATGTGTCTTTGATATTATTTCTGTACAAGATATCTCATGAATCTCTGAACAGATTAAAGTAATTACAAGTGATCACATGATAACTGTAAGTACTTCCTGTCTGAGCCACTGAATGGAGGGTAAATCTACATAAGCCCCTGCTCACTTTGACTTCATGATCCATGGGTGGGGGTTAGATCTACATGAGCCCCTGCTTACTTTAATTGAATTCCTGACCCTGGGTTGGGGGTAGATCTACATGAACCCCAGGTTACTTTGTTTTTAATTCAGTCTAGTAGACATAACTCCTATAAAATATAGACAAAAGACTTCCATTTAAATGCATCTCAGATTTGTCTGCCTTGTATGGAAAAGTCAACCAAGATTTCTCTCCTTTTGGTTTTTCCTGTTAGCACTGACATCCCTCAAAAAGATGACTTCTTGTTAATGTTAGTCCTCACATATTTATCTCCCTTTAATTATATTTTCATAACAGATTTGTCTCTGTAGTTGTGGAGTTCTTACCATACAGATTTATCTCCCTTTAATTTCTATGTCTGTGCAGATTGGTCTCTCTTTAGCTCAGCTTAGAGCACAGATTTATCTCCCTTAAGTTGTATGGACAGTACAGAACATGCAATTATTGCTATCACTAATAGGGGGATGGGTGGGGGATGATGTTTGACCGGAAGTAGGACATAAATCAATATAAAATTAATTCAAACATGTTATATCTTGGAGTTTTGTGTTCTTAAACACTTTGTTATCTATAGTTTTATTTATATCTCAAATAGGGCATTTTTTATGATGTTTTGAAGAAATTTGGCTTGTGGACTATTTTTTTTTTTTGACAGCGTAGTTGACAACATGATTTGTTTGTAGCATCAACAATTTCAACGCTTTCTTCTTGCTAAGGTACTTCTCTCGTGTATAACTCTGTAAGTCTGTAAGGTTCCTTTTTTCCCTAGGTATTGTACCTCTCTTTGTAAAGCAGAGACAATATGTTCAATGAATTTTCTTGGTCTATGGCAATCATTGAATTAATCAACATTTATTCCTTTTTGAAAAGGTTACTGAAAGTAAGTATTTTTTAAAAAGATACTGAAAGTAAGTATTTTTTAAAAGGATACTGAAAGTAAGTATTTTTTAAAAGGATACTGAAAGTAAGTATTTTTTAAAAGGATACTGAAAGTAAGTATTATTTAAAATTCAGAAAAAAGTGACAGAAATCTGATTTCTGATCTTGCAAATTCAATTCGCAATGTTGTGGAAATGATGTCTGTTTATGTGTTTCAGGAATTCCAAACAATTTACCAGCAATTCTTCCCAAATGGTGACCCCAGCAAATTTGCAAGTTTTGTGTTCAATGTATTTGATGCTAACAAGGTGAGCATGAGTATTGATTTTGTGATTTCTTAGATAAGTCAGTGTAAACGACTATGTTGTTGTTTATTATTATAATGTAGTTTAGTACACATGTAAAAACATAGTCACATTGTAATACATTATAGTATGTGGCCTTGCACTTGTTGAAACCTTGATGTGTAGTATTACACGTGTGAAAACATTGATACATTATAATATATGTGTGTGGTATTACATATTTCAATACATTGTTATATATATGTGTAATGTTATGAGTCTGTTCATATCCTAAATGCACAAATAATGATATCATTACGTTTTAGTACCAAATACTCTATTTATTATGAAGCAGCTGTTTATCTAGAACGATACTTTGTAGTTTCTGTAATCATGTGTTGACTGTTTAGGACGGCTACATATCCTTTAAGGAGTTTATCTGTGCTCTCTCCATCACCTCACGAGGATCTCTGGATGAGAAACTGGACTGTAAGTACACCTGAAAATTTAAAGATTGAATGTAATTATACATACAGATCTTTGATGTTAATACATCTGTAGATCTTTGAGTACACTTGAAGATCTTACAGTTGATCTGTAAGTACACCTGAAAAGATTGACTTTAATTATAAATAAAGATCTGGAATTTCACTGTAAATACACCTTAACATCTTAAAGAGAGTCATCACAATAATTGCACTTAGAGATCTTCAAGTCGAACTTTAAGTATACCTGAGTATAAGTACAACTCCTGAGGATCTCTCAGTCAGAAGTGTGACTGTAAGTACACCTCCTGAGGATCTGTCAGTCAGAAGTGTGACTGTAAGTACACCTCCTGAGGATCTGTCAGTCAGAAGTGTGACTGTAAGTACACCTCCTGAGGATCTCTCAGTCAGAAGTATGACTGTAAGTACACCTCATGAGGATCTGTCAGTCAGAGGTATGACTGTAAGTACATTTCCTGAGGATCACTCAGTCAGAAGTATGACTGTAAGTACACCTCCTGAGGATCTGTCAGTCAGAGGTATGACTGTAAGTACACCTCCTGAGGGTCTCTCATTCAGAGGTATGACTGTAAGTACAACTCCTGAGGATCTCTCAGTCAGAAGTATGACTATAAGTACACCTCCTGAGGGTCTCTCAGTCAGAGGTATGACTGTAAGTACAACACCTGAGGATCTCTCAGTCAGAAGTATGACTGTAAGTACACCTCCTGATGGTCTACCAGTCAGAAGTGTGACTGTAAGTACACCACCTGAGGATCTACAAGTCAGAAGTATGACTGTTATTACACCTCCTGAGGATCTCTCAGTCAGAAGTGTGACTGTACGTACACCTCCTGAGGATCTCTCAGTCAGAGGTATGACTGTAAGTACAACTGCTGAGGATCTCTCAGTCAGAAGTATGACTGTAAGTACACCTTCTGAGGATCTCTCAGTCAGAAGTATGACTGTAAGTACACCTCCTGAGGATCTACCAGTCAGAAGTATGACTGTAAGTACAACTCCTGAGGGTCTACCAGTCAGAAGTGTGTCTGTAAGTTCAACTCCTGGGGATCTCACTGTCAGAAGTATGTCTTATTTACAGGGCATTCAGTCTGTATGACCTGGTTTGTTATTTACAGGGGCATTCAGTCTGTATGATGTGGTTTGTTATTTACAGGGGCATTCAGTCTGTATGACCTGGTTTGTTATTTACAGGGGCATTCAGTCTGTATGATGTGGTTTGTTATTTACAGGGGCATTCAGTCTGTATGATGTGGTTTGTTATTTACAGGGGCATTCAGTCTGTATGATGTGGTTTGTTATTTACAGGGGCATTCAGTCTGTATGATGTGGTTTGTTATTTACAGGGGCATTCAGTCTGTATGATGTGGTTTGTTATTTACAGGGGCATTCAGTCTGTATGATGTGGTTTGTTATTTACAGGGGCATTCAGTCTGTATGATGTGGTTTGTTATTTACAGGGGCATTCAGTCTGTATGTCTGTATTGTGTGGTTTGTTATTTACAGGGGCATTCAGTCTGTATGATGTGGTTTGTTATTTACAGGGGCATTCAGTCTGTATGATGTGGTTTGTTATTTACAGGGGCATTCAGTCTGTATGATGTGGTTTGTTATTTACAGGGGCATTCAGTCTGTATGATGTGGTTTGTTATTTACAGGGGCATTCAGTCTGTATGATGTGGTTTGTTATTTACAGGGGCATTCAGTCTGTATGATGTGGTTTGTTATTTACAGGGGCATTGTCTGTATGATGTGGTTTGTTATTTACAGGGGCATTCAGTCTGTATGATGTGGTTTGTTATTTACAGGGGCATTCAGTCTGTATGATGTGGTTTGTTATTTACAGGGGCATTCAGTCTGTATGATGTGGTTTGTTATTTACAGGGGCATTCAGTCTGTATGATGTGGTTTGTTATTTACAGGGGCATTCAGTCTGTATGATGTGGTTTGTTATTTACAGGGGCATTCAGTCTGTATGATGTGGTTTGTTATTTACAGGGGCATTCAGTCTGTATGATGTGGTTTGTTATTTACAGGGGCATTTAATCTGTTTGACCTGGTTTGTTATTTACAGGGGCATTCAGTCTGTATGATGTGGTTTGTTATTTACAGGAGCATTCAGTCTGTATGATGTGGTTTGTTATTTACAGGGGCATTCAGTCTGTATGATGTGGTTTGTTATTTACAGGGGCATTCAGTCTGTATGGTGTGGTTTGTTATTTACAGGGGCATTCAGTCTGTATGATGTGGTTTGTTATTTACAGGGGCATTCAGTCTGTATGATGTGGTTTGTTATTTACAGGGGCATTCAGTCTGTATGATGTGGTTTGTTATTTACAGGGGCATTCAGTCTGTATGATGTGGTTTGTTATTTACAGGGGCATTCAGTCTGTATGATGTGGTTTGTTATTTACAGGGGCATTCAGTCTGTATGATGTGGTTTGTTATTTACAGGGGCATTCAGTCTGTATGATGTGGTTTGTTATTTACAGGGGCATTCAGTCTGTATGATGTGGTTTGTTATTTACAGGGGCATTCAGTCTGTATGATGTGGTTTGTTATTTACAGGGGCATTCAGTCTGTATGATGTGGTTTGTTATTTACAGGGGCATTCAGTCTGTATGATGTGGTTTGTTATTTACAGGGGCATTCAGTCTGTATGATGTGGTTTGTTATTTACAGGGGCATTCAGTCTGTATGATGTGGTTTGTTATTTACAGGGGCATTCAGTCTGTATGATGTGGTTTGTTATTTACAGGGGCATTCAGTCTGTATGATGTGGTTTGTTATTTACAGGGGCATTCAGTCTGTATGATGTGGTTTGTTATTTACAGGGGCATTCAGTCTGTATGATGTGGTTTGTTATTTACAGGGGCATTCAGTCTGTATGATGTGGTTTGTTATTTACAGGGGCATTCAGTCTGTATGATGTGGTTTGTTATTTACAGGGGCATTCAGTCTGTATGATGTGGTTTGTTATTTACAGGGGCATTCAGTCTGTATGATGTGGTTTGTTATTTACAGGGGCATTCAGTCTGTATGATGTGGTTTGTTATTTACAGGGGCATTCAGTCTGTATGATGTGGTTTGTTTTTTACAGGGGCATTCAGTCTGTATGATGTGGTTTGTTATTTACAGGGGCATTCAGTCTGTATGATGTGGTTTGTTATTTACAGGGGCATTCAGTCTGTATGATGTGGTTTGTTATTTACAGGGGCATTCAGTCTGTATGATGTGGTTTGTTATTTACAGGGGCATTCAGTCTGTATGATGTGGTTTGTTATTTACAGGGGCATTCAGTCTGTATGATGTGGTTTGTTATTTACAGGGGCATTCAGTCTGTATGATGTGGTTTGTTATTTACAGGGGCATTCAGTCTGTATGACCTGGTTTGTTATTTACAGGGGCATTCAGTCTGTATGATGTGGTTTGTTATTTACAGGGGCATTCAGTCTGTATGATGTGGTTTGTTATTTACAGGGGCATTCAGTCTGTATGATGTGGTTTGTTATTTACAGGGGCATTCAGTCTGTATGATGTGGTTTGTTATTTACAGGGGCATTCAGTCTGTATGATGTGGTTTGTTATTTACAGGGGCATTCAGTCTGTATGATGTGGTTTGTTATTTACAGGGCATTCAGTCTGTATGATGTGGTTTGTTATTTACAGGGGCATTCAGTCTGTATGATGTGGTTTGTTATTTACAGGGGCATTCAGTCTGTATGATGTGGTTTGTTATTTACAGGGGCATTCAGTCTGTATGATGTGGTTTGTTATTTACAGGGGCATTCAGTCTGTATGATGTGGTTTGTTATTTACAGGGGCATTCAGTCTGTATGATGTGGTTTGTTATTTACAGGGGCATTCAGTCTGTATGATGTGGTTTGTTATTTACAGGGGCATTCAGTCTGTATGATGTGGTTTGTTATTTACAGTCTGGGCATTTCAGTCTGTATGATGTGGTTTGTTATTTACAGGGGTCTTCATGTCTGTTATTTATTGATGTGGTTTGTTATTTACAGGGGCATTCAGTCTGTATGATGTGGTTTGTTATTTACAGGGGCATTCAGTCTGTATGGTGTGGTTTGTTATTTACAGGGGCATTCAGTCTGTATGATGTGGTTTGTTATTTACAGGGGCATTCAGTCTGTATGATGTGGTTTGTTATTTACAGGGGCATTCAGTCTGTATGATGTGGTTTGTTATTTACAGGGGCATTCAGTCTGTATGATGTGGTTTGTTATTGACAGGGGCATTCAGTCTGTATGATGTGGTTTGTTATTTACAGGGGCATTCAGTCTGTATGATGTGGTTTGTTATTTACAGGGGCATTCAGTCTGTATGATGTGGTTTGTTATTTACAGGGGCATTCAGTCTGTATGATGTGGTTTGTTATTTACAGGGGCATTCAGTCTGTATGATGTGGTTTGTTATTTACAGGGGCATTCAGTCTGTATGATGTGGTTTGTTATTTACAGGGGCATTCAGTCTGTATGATGTGGTTTGTTATTTACAGGGGCATTCAGTCTGTATGATGTGGTTTGTTATTTACAGGGGCATTCAGTCTGTATGATGTGGTTTGTTATTTACAGGGGCATTCAGTCTGTATGATGTGGTTTGTTATTTACAGGGGCATTCAGTCTGTATGATGTGGTTTGTTATTTACAGGGGCATTCAGTCTGTATGATGTGGTTTGTTATTTACAGGGGCATTCAGTCTGTATGATGTGGTTTGTTATTTACAGGGGCATTCAGTCTGTATGATGTGGTTTGTTATTTACAGGGGCATTCAGTCTGTATGATGTGGTTTGTTATTTACAGGGGCATTCAGTCTGTATGATGTGGTTTGTTATTTACAGGGGCATTCAGTCTGTATGATGTGGTTTGTTATTTACAGGGGCATTCAGTCTGTATGATGTGGTTTGTTATTTACAGGGGCATTCAGTCTGTATGATGTGGTTTGTTATTTACAGGGGCATTCAGTCTGTATGATGTGGTTTGTTATTTACAGGGGCATTCAGTCTGTATGATGTGGTTTGTTATTTACAGGGGCATTCAGTCTGTATGATGTGGTTTGTAATTTACAGGGCATGATGTATCACCTGGATTGTTATTTACAGGGGCATTCAGTCTGTATGATGTGGTTTGTTATTTACAGGGGCATTCAGTCTGTATGATGTGGTTTGTTATTTACAGGGGCATTCAGTCTGTATGATGTGGTTTGTTATTTACAGGGGCATTCAGTCTGTATGATGTGGTTTGTTATTTACAGGGGCATTCAGTCTGTATGATGTGGTTTGTTATTTACAGGGGCATTCAGTCTGTATGATGTGGTTTGTTATTTACAGGGGCATTCAGTCTGTATGATGTGGTTTGTTATTTACAGGGGCATTCAGTCTGTATGATGTGGTTTGTTATTTACAGGGGCATTCAGTCTGTATGATGTGGTTTGTTATTTACAGGGGCATTCAGTCTGTATGATGTGGTTTGTTATTTACAGGGGCATTCAGTCTGTATGAGTCCTGGTTTGTTATTTACAGGGGCATTCAGTCTGTATGATGTGGTTTGTTATTTACAGGGGCATTCAGTCTGTATGATGTGGTTTGTTATTTACAGGGGGCTGTATGATGTGGTTTGTTATTTACAGGGGCATTCAGTCTGTATGATGTGGTTTGTTATTTACAGGGGCATTCAGTCTGTATGATGTGGTTTGTTATTTACAGGGGCATTCAGTCTGTATGATGTGGTTTGTTATTTACAGGGGCATTCAGTCTGTATGATGTGGTTTGTTATTTACAGGGGCATTCAGTCTGTATGATGTGGTTTGTTATTTACAGGGGCATTCAGTCTGTATGATGTGGTTTGTTATTTACAGGGGCATTCAGTCTGTATGATGTGGTTTGTTATTTACAGGGGCATTCAGTCTGTATGATGTGGTTTGTTATTTACAGGGGCATTCAGTCTGTATGATGTGGTTTGTTATTTACAGGGGATGTGGTTTGTTATTTCAGTCTGTATGATGTGGTTTGTTATTTACAGGGGCATTCAGTCTGTATGTTGTGGTTTGTTATTTACAGGGGCATTCAGTCTGTATGATGTGGTTTGTTATTTACAGGGGCATTCAGTCTGTATGATGTGGTTTGTTATTTACAGGGGCATTCAGTCTGTATG